ACAATCAACCTTATACGTATTATAACCTTGGTGAACTAGTAACTTCTTTTTTCTTCTAAGAAAGATTAAGAAAAAAAATAATAATCAAAACGAGAAGGATACATTTATTATATCAAAATGAAGTTCAAACAAAGATTTCATTGCATAATTCTCTTCATATATATAATATATATTCATACCTTTTCTTTTAACATCTTGAATCCCCACATCCAGCTACATATAACATTTCATTATAAAGTTTTAGTAACATAAAATAGAAAATATGGATGAATCTCCATTTATTCATAGTTGCTTAGCTTTTTCATAGCTCTGCATTTTCAAGTTGGCAGATACACAACCTTGATTTTATTCAGCCATGGCTGCTAACCTAACAGCCCGGGACCGTGACGCCGCAGGCAGCGGCGACTCGCTTAGCACCGGGAATATAAGGTTTGAATTCTGGATTCTTAAGGTATTCGCAGAGGCACGGTGTTTGTTCATCCAATTTGAGGCAACAAGTTTTTGACGGCGGTACCGATGACATAATCGCAGCAGCACACGGGCTGAGCTCCGAAGGGTTGCAGTCCACTGCATTGGCCGGACGAGCTCCGGCAAGAAGTGCCACGGCCATCGCAGCGGCCACCAAAGCACAGAGACTTCTCATCGACAATCTCTTCATTCTGTCAATTATGAGAAGATTTGATGTATGCAAGAAAGAAAGAGGAATATATGATGTTTGACAAAGCCATGCAGCCAGGATTTATAGTCTCGTGGATACTAAGGTTAGACCAAAATGTGTGCTTCAAAATTTCCTAATCGGGTAATAATTTTGTTTTTTTTTTTCAACTTACAAAGATAGACATTTAGCACTTATGAGAGTACTGAAATCTACTTTGAGAGACATTAAATTTTAAATGTTATAATTAGTAGGCTTTTAGGTTAGAGATAGAAAGAAAGGAATAATATGTTGTTACTTATTCGTCTTTTATTTATATTTATACCTTTGATTAAAATATTTTCTTTTATACAGTGACTAATCACTTCACGGGAGAAAATATGAGGAATGTATATGTATATTATAAAATAATATATAACATTTAAACTTACTTACAAAAAAAATATTTTTAGTACAACATATAGAAGTGAGAATTCGATTTCACGATCTTTTTAGTTATGGAAATAGATAATTGCTTTAATTTAAAAATGTGTTTCCTGTGCTTTTTGTCTTTACACAAATTATATGTATGAGTTCGGACATAAATGAATTAAATCGACTAATACCAAACATTACTGACTTACGAAGACCAACATAAATTAAAGCAAACCTTGATAATGGGCAACAACACAATCTTTATCATGCATTTTTTTTCTAAAGAGAAACTTTCGGATATGTGAGAAACATACTTTAAAGAGAGGAAGCTACCTAAAAGAATTTCAATTTAGAGTGATAATAGAGATATCACAGTTATAAAAAGGAATGGATTTAGATGGTCAAGATGAAGCAACCATTCTAATTTGGTTCTAAAGTTGTGCTACCGATTTGGATGCTTCCATGAAGGTTTGATCATTATTTCTCTCCAGCTATGTATATACCAAAGAATAGCACTAAAATTGTGTGTCCATAAACATCTTTGTTATTCGACGGAGAGATATACCTTAATTAATTAAACTAGATCTAAGTCTGTTGTCAATGATTATTTTTCGAACAAAAAATTTGTATTTTCATACAGTTAGATCGTTTTTCGTTCTAGTTTCACGAGCCACTAATAAAGTCGACTTGAAATTTATTTTTATGAATAGTCCTATATTGTATTTGCTTTACTCAAGATGTGAGCTATGTTTCTTTGTGTTGTTTGTTTAGTTTGTCTGTCTTTTCTTTTTTGATTGTGTTTTTTAAGGCCTTCTTAACCCGTTTCTTTGCGTTCCCCTTTTTGCCTGTCTTGTCAAGCCATGGATTTCTCTTTTTTACATTGCAATATATGTAACTTTGAAAAAAAAAAAAAGTTGCTTAATTAGTGTGCTTTGGGCCTTTATACTCGATCTTTATTATAAATCATATTATGATTCGAATATAAATTAAAACCAACTGATACCAAACATTATTGACTGACGAAGACCAACATCAATGAAAGCAAATTTTGAAAAGCATGGGCAACAACTCAATTAATTAGAGAATTAATATTTTACACTATAATGCTTTGATTTCTTGAATTAATTTATTGCACTTTGTTTTTATTTTATTTTTTTAGTTTAACAAGGTGAAGATTCAATTTTTTGATCTTTTCGTTGAGGTAATTATGATGCTTTGACTAGTTGAGTTATGTTTAAATTGGTCATTTTAGTGTCTTTTTTGTTAAGGATCTCACATTTAAAAGACATGAGATCTAACAAAGATTTATAATTGACATGAGTTGCTTCTCTCGTAAACAGTTAGTTTTGAGATATCCATTATTATCAATATGATATTAGAATCCAAACAAGTTTAAATAATTCTCGGATGAAGACTTGAGTACTCGAAGACTTCAATTCAAAGATTATTGTATATCTTAGATTACTTATTATGGGAGAGAAGCAAATTTGGTGATTAACGTTTTCTAATCAAAATCTTGCCCTTAAAGGGGAAGCAACACATATATATTGTGAGAAAAATCACACACCATTAAAAATAAAAAAACCACATATTGGTAAAGTCGAAAGGAAGCACTACTGGAAAACATTTTTGCCAACGTAGAAAAATGTCGGCAAAAAGTAAAAAAAAAAAAGTTCCCGACGCAAAATTTTTTTCGTTGGGGACTTTCGTCTGGCATAAGTCCTTCGGGAGAACTCATTCTCGACCAAAAAAAAAAAAGCAAAAAAGCATAAAAACATTGGCATAGATGCTCTATGCACACATTTTAAGAAAGCATCGGCATAGGGGGTTTATCCCGAAACTTTAAAAGCGTCCGCAACATATATAGACAGTACTGTTCAATTTCGTAAGTGTACAAATCGTTACAAGTAATATAGAAGTGAATAAACTATCGTCTCCATAGGCAATGACAGATTACTAATTACTCTGATGCCAAAGGTCCTGATGAGAGTGTTGAGGACAACATAAGCTCACTTATCTTTTAATAATTAACTTCAAATTACGGATCAAATTGTACGTTTGAGCAAAAATTGTTTAATTTCTTTTGGACTATTTATGTAGTTAAACATGATACATCTCAAAGAACCATCAATTGAAGAAGACGGTGATCTTAGATCTAGAAGTAATGGAAACAGTCCATGGATCTTGATCAGACCATGCTAAAATCTATGGTTGTGGCTCAAAACCTAAATCCCATAAAGCTGGTTCTGCATCGAGAGTGTAGCTTCTTCCATAGAGAGCATGAGTTGTCATAAGAAATATCTATTTTTGAGGGCCGTCTCGCACAAAAAGATGTTGAGTTAGATGAGTGTCTTTTACAAAATGATTTTGAGATGGTGGATCTACATGAGGAAATTTTAGGTTTGAGATTACTGAAGGAAGAATTCATTACTTGTTCTAGTAGAGTCAGCTCATAAAATTAGGTACGACCACAAAAAATATTTTCATAAACTTACTTTGTCTCATTATATGAACATATTATGTGGCTATCTTGCAGTTTGGTAGCCATTTATGATACAAAAAACTATACATGTTTAATTTTATTTCAGAGAAATAATAGTGTCTGGTTTATATGACTATTCGGTAATTATCTAGCTACTTAATGTATAGCAAATGTGGAGGGGTGTTTTACATTTCTTAATTTATAAGCTTAATGCATGTTTATCTAGGATGTGGATCATGAGCGTCCTTAGCTATGTTGATATTAAGGGAGGCTGGGTAGACATTTTCGTTATGTTTTGTTGATCGATGATGAACGATGAGCGGATTTACGTTTGTTGGGTTCAATAGTCATGAATAACTATTGAAGTGAGGTGTTTTTCGTTTTACGAACTTTGTTTGATGTGAAATGTGTTTTATGTTTGTTATGAGGTTTGAGTGAGTTTGTGAGATGTGTTTTACGTTTTTTGCCGCTTAAATAATATTATTGTAGCTTATAGTTGAGGTAAGGAATATGTTTTGACAACATTTAGGCTTCTTTAGCACCACTTCGACACTCTTTGAAGTTATCTTTTGATTTACTTTACCCTACTTTTCGTGCTTGAAGTTAATTATTTTTTCCAAATTGGTTTATATTTAACATTTGCTTTTCAAGTCCTTTTGATTTTTTTTCGGAAGCTTTAAAAATTAGAGAAATTTTCATGAGCTCAATGAAATTGAGCTTTCTAGATTAAGTTTAGATTTAGATTGTGAATCTGAATATAGTTTAAGTGACTAAGACACCTATTTCTGACCAAAATTTATTCTTACGGGAGTTTAATTTTAATTTGAAGCAACCCGATCAAGTAACAAGAAAATAGAGTAGATTTTTTTTTAATTTGTCAAAAAAATTATCCTCTTTTGAGACAAAGCTAAACGTCTATCAAGAAAAGGTTTATGGCGACGAAAGTTTATTTATTACCCAAAAACGTCTTTTGAAACGAAATAATGTTTGTGGCCATAGTATCCATTGGTGACGAGAATAGTTTCCTCGCGAAAATTTTTTTGACAACAAAATATAGTTTGTTGTCGAAAGGATCTTTTGCGGACGAATGAACTTCCATCACTAGATATCTTCGACGATGATGCTAATTTCGTTGGCAAATGTAGTTTTTGACGACGAAATCCAAATTTCAGCAACAAAAATCTACCAAAAAACTTTGTGACCAAAATATATGGTCGATATAGCTTTTGCCAACGACATTGGAATCTTTAGGGACGGTTTTATGCGCAAGCAAAAATCAATTTTCTTGCAGTGATAAACACATTTCCAACACCAATATTTTTCACTTTTAGAGAGAGAAAAATAAATAAATCCATAATTCTCCATTTTGCTTGTATTCCTTTCATTACTTGCTGCATTATATGTGGCATCCAATCCCTCTGAAACGTGTCCATCCACATCCCCAAAATTTTGAACTTTATTCACAATCACCGCTTCCCCTCTCATTCTTCCCTTTTCTCCTAAAAAAATCTCACTTCTTCCTCTCAGGTAACAAATCTTCTACTGCACTGTCTCTTTACTATTTTTTCTCCTCGATCATTTTTGCTTCTGTTTGGTTTATTTAATTTGTCCACTTCCTAATCTTGCTTCTGCCTCTGCTCGTGCATGTTGTTTAAAAATTTTAAATTCATCCTAATCCATTAGCTTAAACTTTTAAATTAAGGTAATTACTTAATTTCTAACACATATTTACATTTGTCTGTTGTTGAATGAATTTAAAATCTCTTTTTCCTGTTGGGTTAGGAATTATGAGGGAAGCTCACCGGAGTGGTCATCAAACTGCCGTGTCGGGCGGAGCCGCCGCTGTCCTAAAGCGCCGCCGGCTTGATTGGTTGATGGTGTTGGTTCTCATGTTCATGTATTTTGGGATATTCAAAATCCAACCGTTTAGGCGATATGTGGGGAGAGATATGATCGCCAATGTTAAATATCCTTTGATGGGAGTCACCATTCCCTTCTGGACTGTTCCTGTAAGTCACCAACTTTTTCCCCTCCCTCGTTTTCCAAACTATTCACATATCCAAAGTTAAAAAATAAAATTAATTAAAAAAGAAAGCTAATTCTAAATTCCGTAACTTTAATCTAGATGTAACATATACTTATTGATTTAATTCATTTCAAATAATTCATTTCAGAATGGGTGAGGATTCAACTCACGACCAGGGATAAATGTCGTATTAACCTTATTTTAGTATAACATGTGGAGTGATTCATTTCAGAATGGGGGAAAATTCGAAATCATAACCTTTTAGCTAGGGATAAATGTCGTATGAATCTTATTTTAGTATAACATGTAGAGTGGGAATCGAATCTTATTTTAGTATAACATGTAGAGTGGGAATCGACTCACACCCCTACCCCTAATTGGAGATTGAAGATATATGTAAATTACCACTAAGCTACGTTTGTTTTGGATGTATATTAACTAGTTAAGCAATGACTTTGAATGATATAAATTAATGGAAAAGGAGGTAGACAACGCGTATCAGATTCTTTTAAGTACACCTTTTGGCGCTACTTCTTAAGCCAAATCATAATTTAGAATTTAAAATTTAGGGTACTAAAATTTTAGTTTAACATTTTTTTGAGGCCAACCAACCTCTTAATCTTAAAGTTTGTAGGATTTTATACCTGAAATTTAGCTAAAACTACAAAACAAAACAAAAAAGGATAATAATAACATTTAGCCAACATACTAAAACAAAGTTTTCTCGTAGATGACACATGAATCCTTTGATGAGGAAGCTGACAATATTTAGTGTTATGTGTCTTAGTTGTATGCGGTTGTGTTGCCAATTGCAATCTTTCTGGCGGCGTATATGCGTAGAAGAGACGTCTATGATCTTCACGATGCCATTTTAGGTGATGATGCGTCAAATTTATATTGATTATACTTGGGTCCTATTGGATAATGATTTCGTCTTTTTATTTGAAAAATTATGTTTGGTTCCTCACAGTTTCTTTAGTAAGTTTTTCAACTCTGTTGGCCAAAATTCAAGAAAAATTATTTTTTAAAACAACTAGTTTTAGTTTTTGAAATTTGACGTAGACGTGAAAAATTTGTAAATTATGGATGACAAAATAAAGAAACATTTGAAAAACATAAATTAAAAGCAAAACAGTGATCAAACAGGGCCTTAAAAAGCTTAGAAGCTTAGTTTTTATATGTGCTTTTGTGGTAAAACTTCTAATAATATATGCATCACAGGTATTCTCTTATCTGTGCTAGTAACAGGAGTTCTCACTGAGGCAACTAAGAATGCAACTGGTCGCCCGAGGCCCGACTTCTTTTGGCGTTGTTTTCCCGATGGGAATGAGGTATTGCTTTAATCAATTATAAACAAGGACGATATGAAGTGTTTTATGGCTAAACCAACAATCTTAATCCTGAGTTTCTAACTTTTAAAAAGTTCCAAATACATTTCAATATCACTAACGCTCTTAATTAAATGATGACGTGAATGTCTCTTACACAAACATTTGCTGATTTGGCACGACATATAGAAGATAAATGAAGAAAGTGGATGGTTGGACAAAACAAAGTGGCATAATATATATATTGAATGTATTTGATATCTTGCTTCAAAAAGATGGTATGTAATTGTGTTACCATTTTATTTTGTCCAGCTAAGTCACTTCTATCATGTTTCTATCCAGTTTTGTGTTATGTCATCATTTAGTATGTTAATGGCAATAGCTATATAGAATTCAAAGTTGAAGAACATAAGTGTGAAAATCTTTTAAGGTTTTAAGGTTTAGAGACTGAAAGATAAACACGATACAAAAGCCTAGTTCGTAATCCCATCTTATTTTCATGATAACTTGACTCATAAATCTTTGTTGACAAAAAAATACATGCTCTTGCTTTGTTGCCTTTAAAATGTAATCATCAATCTCATTGTGTTTTAAACATTATTAACTTATAACGTCTTTAGGTTTACAACCGATTCGGAAACGTCGTATGTCATGGGAAGAAAAGTTTCGTCTTGGACGGGTACAAGAGTTTTCCTAGTGGTCATGCTTCATGTAGGCAAAAACACATCATATTTTCTCAGCTTCTTTCTCTCACTAATTTTGAAAATAATATCGAATTAAAAACAAAACATGATCAAGAAGTCTTGAACACAGTTTCTACAACAAAAATCTAGAAATCAAAATCATAATTTTGTGTGCAGGGTCATTTGCTGGCCTTGGTTTTCTCTCATTGTACTTATCAAGCAAGCTAAGAGTGTTTGAGCATGGAGGCAATGTTGCAAAACTACTTTTGGCTCTCTTTCCTTTGTTGGTTGCTTATGTGGTTGGGATCTTTATGGTGAATGACTACATGCACCATTCCCTAGATGTTCTTTTTGGTGCTCTCATTGGTAATTGCTTCTTCTTAATTGCCATTCTTTACATTTCTTGTCATCAATGAACTTCTAATTCCATCTTTTGTTCTGATTTTTTTTTAATTTGATAAATCATTATCGACGTCTTAATATTCTTGGTCCTTTAGAGGCACATGTTTTGTTTATTTACCATAGATATACTACTATGGTAGGTACTTTTTTCAAGGTGCTACAATAAATAAAATATGGTGGGTCTCATTCAATAAAATAGTATATTTATTACATACATTCGTTTACCAGTTAATGAATTAGATGATCAGATATCTACATGATAAGTGGGGTTCATGGGTTCGGTTTAGGTTGATGAGTCGCCCACTCATGGGTTGGAAAATTAACACGAAAGTAAGCAAGTGACTGTTGATTTAATTGGAGAGAGATGACATTCATGGATCTACGTATACTTTTCACTAGTTTAAGTTTTTATTAATATTTATAAGTTTCATCTCAAAATCTTGACTTGACAATGAAACGAGTAGCCATGTTTATTATAAATTTTTGTGAGGTCTCTTTTCTTTTCATTCAATGTGGGATACTTAACAGTTTGGTATTTGGTATTGGTATTGTATTATCATGGCCTATTATCATTATTAGACTCCAAATCCTTATTAGACTCCAAAATTTAAGCAGATTGATGAATTTTACAGAAGTATAAAACATTATCAAATAAGTTTTCTTTTTCTTTTTGGTCTAACAAAATGGTAATCAATGGAGAAAAAGGAAAAGAATTAAAAGACAAAAATGTTATCAAGAAGCATTGGTTTTTTCAGGTCTTGTGGTGGCTACACTTATTTATTTGCAGTTCTTTCCATCCCCGTATCCTCAAGGTGAGATTCCTTTTACCAGCTTCTTTCTTAAAACCAGAAAAAGAAGAGATCTGCCTTAGAATGATGCTTGGTTTTACGTGCAGATGTTTTCTTCCCGACGTCGGAGCAATCAAGAACGAATGCTCTAAGAAGCAATGTTACGGCGAATGCTAATAGCGGTGTGGACATTGAGGCCCCCATGTCTCCTGAAAATGGAGGTCGGTGACGAGAGTGACTATGATTTTCGATCTTAAGGTTTAAATCCCGGCCCAACTCGTGCTTGCATATAATTATTGATTATATTTAGTTTTGTGGGTTCATTTGATTCACAATTTAGGAAGAATTTAATTTCTTTGTTTAAAATGCGTAATGTACAAGTTTGTTTATATGCCTTTGAATGCTCTAATATTTATGTATTTATCTTTTAGAAGGGAGGATTATTTGTGCTTGATTTGAGCTTCTTTTGAGAGGTATCACTTTAATTGAGTTGGAATTTCATGTAATTATTAGGAAGGAAGAGCACGTCCATGGTTTACAAATAATTATCTCTAGACTTTTTGGGTCAAATCAAAAGAAAATTCATGAGAGTTATGTCCAAAGCAGACAATATTATATCATTGTAGAGATGCTTGGGGTATGAGAGTACCATTGTTCTTAGCAAGTATCAAAATCATGATCTAAACCTAGCTGTGTCGGTGAAATCTTCGAGTGTCGATAAAATAAGTGGTGAGTCTTGGAAGAATAACTATGGTGTGATTTGGGGTTATATCATTAAGAACCATGCATCATTAAGAAGTGGTGAGCATATATGCTCAAGTTGTGCTTCGAGCTCTGGATAAGAGCAAGCTTTCGTTGTGCCCGAGAGTCAACGAATGGTTAACTACTTGAGGGGAGCTGGCTCGGCATGATACTTTGTTCTCGGGGGAGGATTGTTGGGTTTGTAAGGAAAATGCAAACAAGTCTCACATTAGTTAGGGAAGAATTTGATCCAATAGTATATATACGAGGACAATTATCTCCGTATGAGGTCTTTTGGGTGAAACTAAAAGCAAAGTACGAGGATTATGTCAAAACAGACAATATCATACCATCGTAGAGAGCTCAATATCAATATTCTCAGAGCTCAATATCAATATTCTTGCAATGTTCTTTCAAGTTTTGTCCTTGGATACCTAGCTATTGTAGTCAAAAAAAAATTTTCTTTTTTCTGTTTGCAAAGTTCACCATAGCCTACATATCTCATTTAAATCTACAATATGGAGAGAGTTTCCAAAATCATCAATTTTCTACCAAAATCTACTTGGGCATGATTTAAAATTATGTATTAGCATGGGTTTTTCCTCTTATATACTTCTCAATATTGCTGTAAAAGTTGGTTATTCTTATTCCTTTTCCATTAGCTAGTTTACACTTGTATTGGAATTTTCTTCCTGTTATGGAAGAACCTTTTTGCTTTTGTTTTACCCTATGCTACTGAGCAATTTTTATTCCTCTCACTAGTAGTACTTTTTGTCTCCTTTATTCCAAGCTATGTTTTACTATAGTATAAAGTTTTTGTAGTCGAATGACCATATATAACTAGAGAATTCTACCGTTAGTCCGTGCAACTATTGGATCAAAGAATTGACATCCAAATTATTGGATGGTATATGGATTGCCTAAACAATAGAATAGCGAACTAACTAGTTTATTACTTTCACTGCATCATGACAAGCTCGCTTTAATGCCATTAGGTTCGAGTTCTATTCTTCTGGTTGAAAGTAAACGTTGCCAACCCGCCATTCTGACTGTATTGATAGCGACTCTACTCATAACTCGGAGTCTTATGATCTTCTTCTTAAACCATCAAATACAATTCATTCTTTTTTACTGGATGAGATTAATCAACTTTGATTCTCAAACTCCTGCGTCCCTTGACATCCTATGATAAAAAGAGCCAAAGATGGAATCTACCTTCTACATCATCTTGTACTTCCATTTAATGTGTTAGAGACTTCCAACTTAAAATCTGTTAGGCATACAATTACGTATTTTTTCGATTGCAAATGCATGCACAATAAATCAAGATAAGAGTAAGCAATTAGAGGGCAACAATAAATCAAGAGAGGAGAGATCGACATCAGATTTATACTAATTCACTCGTCCAGGGTAAATCCATTTCGTGGCAAGTTTTTCTCTAAAATGGTAGGGGGAAATAGTATAAGAGTTTATAACCGCTCAAGAAAGAGTTACTCATAATATACTTCATATTGAGTGATAAATCTTGTTTGATTCAAATATTTTGACTTAAGTGGTATTGCAAATTTTTTATTATTTGATTTGAATATTCTAACTTAAGTAATTGCAGATTTCTTATTGATATATATCATGGGGTGATATTTAAATATATTAGTTATATAAATGATATACAGAATACTAAGTACATAATTGAATTTTATTAGTCACTCGTATACTTCATATTAGGTAGATCATTGATAATCTAGTATACTAGGTAGATCATTGATAATCTTTTTTAGGTTGAAGATTTTAGTTTAAATAACATTTCCAATTTCTTATTGCTATATCAAATGTATATTAGTGATATACCCTATATATCACTGATACATTTCATATTTGGTAATTAATATATCTAATATGAAATATATCAATAATACTAAATTTACGAATTGATATATGTCATATTAGGTATATCACTGATGATTTTTTTTAGTTTAAGATTTTAATTTAAGTAACATGGTAGATTTTTTATTAATATAGCAAGATTTTTTTTCTTTTTCCTTTGCCAAGCTTGTTTGTAGGGTGAAACGAATTTGAATTTCTTCATCCTTGTAATCTCCCTCAAGATTTATTCCTATGAATCTTTGGCTTTTGTGAATTGGGGTATGCCCATAATTGAGGGAGGAATATGGAATTCAAATAAAAGTGATTTGTGATGATACTATATATATATATATATATATATATATAGTGTGGACTTCATTTGTTTGCCACTACACCCAAATGAGGAAAGAATAATCTTATCCCTCCAAAAAAGTTAATGCCTAAAGTGGGTTAGTCTAAGATTTGGTTTTCACATATGCTAACAATATGACAAAATTCCCTTGAGATAAAGAATGTGGTTCCTTGCATCCTCTACTCATCATCTCAACTATCGTTTTTATTTCATTTGAAAAATATATATCACAATTCAAATGAACACTAAAAGCACGAATATTTGGTCTGAGAAAGTAATATCCTTATTCATTAAGAGTCTGTTTGGTAATGTTCTCTTTTTCTTCTTATTCTCAATTTTTTAAGAAATCTAAGTATTTTACTACTAATTATGTTTCTTTTTTTTTTTTTTGGAACATTTGTATAAAAATTTTAGAAACAGAAAAAAGAAATTTCTTTCTTGTTCCCATTTCCAATTTATTCCAAAACATAAATAAAAGAATTGTTTTATTATACTTGAATTCATGAATATCTTAGTCATGCAATTTTTTTTAATGAAGAAACGGTAACGTTACCAAACGAGTCCTGAGAAACCATAAATTATCTTATTTTAACTTTCACTCATATATTATGAACGACTCTAGAAGACCAATTTAATTATTAAGGAATGATATATTTATCTATCGAGTTATTAATAATTAGGAAGTTGACTTTAACTACTTTATATATAATAAAATCTTCACATGATAAAGGACAAGTGTTGGAAAAAATGCTCAACTTAATTGTTTGTTCCATAAGCTTGATTTACTATCAAGTATCGAGTCATATTTTGGTGTTTATTTTTAGTATCTCCTACTAATCGTCATTCAAAAATTGATATCTTAGAGAGGTTAATGCACTAAAGAAATAGAGAGAAAGTATAATAAATAGTTGTCATTAACATAAGTAGGAATGTACCACTACTATATCTTAAACATTTTTTTTACCACCATAGTAGTACACATACTCCGAGACAAGATTCTTCATCCCTTATCGAGAGACCTCAACATCACTCCGCTACTATCAACCATAAATTGTAGTTGCAAATGCGATGTATGCTTTTCTTAGGTTTTTATACCGAATTTCTCCTCGTAAACTAATAATAGTTTCTAATTTCCCCAAATATCATATCAATATTAGTAAAAATCTTCAAATGATCCTTTCTTTCCTATTTTGCATATTGCCAAATGTGACCTTACATTTTTTTTAACCTCTATAATATGCTCTCTGCCCTTCTTTTTTTCTTGATTTGATAGAAAAGGCTGTGCAAAGTTCCAAAATGATGACATTAACAAGATAAGAACTGAACGGCGGGGGAGTTCAACAGTGTCTTCTTGTGGCCATTTTTCTGCATGCTTCTGAAACCAACTTGCAGATGCCATCCATGCATTCAAAGCTAATCAATAATGGACCGCCATCCCCTCTCTCTCTTCTCTCTTCTTCCTTCTCTCTCTTTCTCCACCGACGCTTTGGGAGAAAGCTAGCGTATTCAATTCGATGATTGATGCTCTTAAAAATTCTACGAAATAAAGGTACCGCTTGCTACTAGTTAAGACGTCAATGGAGTAGTTCATGTCTATTATAAATTTATATAAGATCTTTTTTGGTTCATAGATTTTGGTCGGATCTCATTTTTGAACTGGATGCTCGTTTGAGCGTTTTGGGTTCTGATACCATATCGATTTCATCTCAAAATCGGTTGGTAATGAGATAAGTAGTCCATGTCTATTTATAAACCTATATAAGGTCCATTTTCATTTTAACGTGAGATATTTAACAAAAATATGTGTTTGATGGTGTTTTTCTTTGTCAAATTTTGAGAGCGAGTTGAAAAATTAGTTTTTCAAAAACTAGTTGTAGTTTTTGAAAAGTTTTGATCGGAAGAAAACAAAGAACTTAATGATAAATATAAAAGTAATAAATCCAATAAAATTGTTGGATTAATTATTTTATATTCATTCTCTAAACAACATTGAAAAATATGGCTAAAAGAGTAAACAATTTTGCAATATTCCTCAATTTGACATGCCTTCTAATTTGAAGCACATTTTCAACCAGAAAAAAGATTATAATAGAAATTATTTTGATGATGCATTTGAAACTTTTCTTAAAAAAAATGTTTTATAATCAATTTATTTGGTTGCGCTACAAAATGATTCAACAACCACAAATATATCTTTTTCCTTACTACTCATTTTCAGTCAACATCCTTGAAATCACTTTTTGGATTATCATCTCTCGAGTATCTCTCTAAAAAATGTTTTTCAAATTATCTAATTTTCTAAAAATCTTTTTACTTGTGGTAAATTTTAAGAAGCATTTTTTAGCCATCTAAAATCAAATATAATTTTAAGAGTGTGTTTGGTATGATTTTGTAAGTGATTTTGGTGGGCAAATAGTGATTTTTTTTAAGAGTTTGCAGTGTTTAGTAACAGATAAAAACCACTCTCATCGAAATAATCGAATGGATTAAAAAAAATTTATTATTAATTATTTTTATTTTTATTTTTAAGAAACGTTTTTAAAGTTTATTCTCCAAATAGTGATTCTAAAATTATTGACCTAGAACAACTTTAGAATCACGATAATTTGACATTTGCAAAATCACTTTTTAGATGAAGTGCAACCAAAAACAAATTTAATGATTAAAAAAAATTAAAAAATAAATATAAACAAACACATGATATATAGGATACTTAACACGTCCACTCAAGATGGTGGCTCTTTTAAGCTCACCAATCTTGTCCATATCTCATTTTTTGGTGGAATACTCGTTTGAACTTGTTGGACGCTCTAATATGATCATATCAGATTCATAATATTCCATCTCAAAACTAATAGACAATTAGAGGACTAGCCTCATGCTTATAAACATTGTTAGCTCCGATCCTTAATATCATAAGCACAACCATCTATATATATAAAAGGTGTTTGAATTAGAATGTCGTAAAAACTCACTCTAAACACGCTCTAAATTAGTAATACTTAAAAATATCTCCATTTAAAGAGGATTTTTTTTCAAAAGCCATCCCAAACTCACACTAATCATCCATATTAAAATTCAGTATGTGTAAGAAAAAGAAAAAATGGAGAACAAGAGAAGAAAAGCAGAAAAGAATAAAGTTGTGCCCTATAAATAGAGGGTCTCTTTGAGTGTCCTAATACCATCCCAAATTTGTCAATCCTCTCTCTCCTGATCTTCTTTCTTCTTTTGATTTTTTTGGGGCATCTGTGGATTTAGAATCTGAGAGAGGGCTGCAATAATGGTGTTTGCTGACAGAAGATAGAGAGCACAGATGGGGAGATGCAAAATGCAAAAACAAAAAGGCATCTCTTTCCTTTGTGCTCTCTATTCTCCTGTCATCACCTTAATTTAGTTCAGCCCTCCAATTTCTATGCCACATGATATATATTCCTCTTCTTCTTATGCATTCTCTTCCTCTTGTGGGTATCGTAGTTTAGATTTCAACTCTACAATTTTAGAACTTTTTAATCTAAGGTCCTGTGATTTGGTTAAATCTTTCCGAGTGTTCTTGTCGTTACTAAATATTAATGGTAATTTTAGAAGGCATGTTTGTTTAGACGCAGGGTTAGTAAAAAAATCATGTTTTTTTTTTCTTTTGTCATATTCCACTAAAATTTCGTCATGGTATCAACCATTATATTCTTCGTCCTAATTATTTTATGGGGCAATACATACATTATGACCTGTGTTGGTGCAGGATTTTGTCGAGTTTCTGAAGGTCGGCCACGTGACAACGAGGACGAGCTGACGAGGTGTGACCTTAAGCAAGAGGGACCTGCAAAAGGAAGAAACACCTTGATGTTCAAGTTAGAAGAGGTGCAGCTACGATAAGTTGTTCTCGAAGCAGAATTGCATACCTGAGTCAAAAGGCAGAATGTCTCCTTTATATGCAGTGGGGGGACAAGTCCGTTGTAACCGCTCCGATCGGTGGTTATGCATGGCTGTCGGGCCCCTAATTCGATTGTTGGATCTGAAGTCGGGACCCTCAGGTCGATTTTGTGGGACAGGTAAGGGCCTATTTGGTTGGAAACTCGGATTCTGTTTTTTGTTTTCAGATTCACTAATCAAATGGATCCAGCGAATACGCGTTTAGCAAGATTTTGGATATTTGTTTTTTAAAACTGTTTTCGAATGCTGTGATTCAAACAGTAGAAATTCTGAAAACGATTTTTTGATGTTTTCAGTGTTTTCATATTCACAATTTGAAATTTTGAAGATGCATAATTACATTAAAAATGATAAACATTTTGATAAATATATTACTTCATATTATAAACTCATTTTATGTTTGTTAAAATTAAAACATGTAAAATATAATGTATTTTAAATTATATAACCTTGTAAAATAACAATTATAAAAAATTCATAAAAAAATGTTAATAAATTAATTAATATAAGTTTAGATTAAACTAAAATTTAGTTTGCAACTATTTATAGTTTACAAATATATTACTAAATACACATTTTTAAATTGAGATTCAATTACCAAATCTGCTACCAAACACATATCTGAAAACACTGAAAACAAAAAATACAACTCTGGTTTTCATTGAATCTTTTGTTTTCAAATTTCTGTCTTCTGATTACCAACTAAACGCACTCTAAGTCTCTCCAAGTTCTGGTCTTCAGCTTGGTTCTGAGATGAGGTTGATCTTCTCCTTATGCTTTGTTGGCTATAAATGTCAGGTGACCTCTATTTTGCCATTGTTTGGCAGATGCGGATCTCCTTGTGCGTAATTGCTTGAACCTCGGGAACCGTCAGCCATTGTAGAGAATACAAAAGCTTTGTATATGCCAGTTCTCACAAACGGCACCAAATGTTGATGTAGGATGATTTTTCTCTAAGAACGACTTACCATAGCTCGCGCCTCTTCTAACTTGAGCGTCAGAGTGTTTCTTCTTTTTGGAAGTCCCTCTTGCTTAAGGTCGCACAACATTAGTTCATCCTTGTTGTCACGTGGCTAACCTCTGATAGCTCTTGACAGAATCCTACATCAACAACCTACTATCAAGAAATCTAAAGAGTTTTATTCTAGATAGGTGGTCACATAGTAGTATTTGAACCTTTCCCTCTTACACCTCCCATAACTCTTATCCAACCTTTTCTTTGGTTGACATCTATGTTTTTTTTTTTACGGTATAATGTGGAGTTTGAGTTAATTTAGATTAGGTTAGTTTTGTAAAATTTCAAACTTTCTTCTATATTAATTTGAATATTCGTATTTATTTTATGCTAATTATGTAAATGCTCTAAATATTATATTATCCTAAGAAAAAGACTAAATGTTATATAACTCAAAATAAATATGTGTAGTGACATCAAAAAGGAATTAATTTGGGATATAACTTAAACAATCTGCAATTATTGGCAACAAAGTTGATGAACATGGTTCAATTTTTATTTTTTTCGAGTTCAACAAAACAAGGGGTCCGGACCATTTTTTATGCCACAAATAGTTTGATTTATACAGTTCAATGTGAAGATATATAGAAGTATGAGTGTCACGTGCAATGAAATTGTATATATTATGATTAGATGGTAATATTATTGTTAACTCTATGTAAATTGTTTTTTCAATGAGACCATGTTATTGTGTTATCTTTATATTAATTTGTTTTCAAGATAAATAAAGCTTATATGTCATTGAAACAATCCTATGTGATTCCATCTTACCACATAAATAGTTCAACTAGTTAAAATATACCTATGTTCGAAGTCGTGAATTTGATTATACAGCCTCACATGTCGTACTTAAAAATATATATATATATATATAACTCCATCTTAATGATAAATAGTAATTTACTTTAGGATGTGACTAAATGGTGAGTTTGGAAATATAAACCTAATTTGTGGATATTTGGTTCCTTTGAATATTGAATGTTAAGCATTAACCAAATAGGATTTACTCTCTTAATGGTCTAATAAGAAGGATTTTAGCCATAACTATAAACCCTTGTTTATTAGCAACTTAATATTTTTAGGAACAAGGATACAATTATTTGAGCGTAAAATAAACATTTTTCTTAATTATAATTATGAATCCCCTACCGATTTGAGTATATCTCAATTGATTGAGGCATTACTTATGTGCCTAAAAGTCAAAGATTCAAATCTCATCTCGTCTTGTTTGTGTTGAACTCAGAACAAAATTACAAATCATCTTTGAAGAATCAACTTCCATGCATCCAAAGAAAAACAAAGACCTTAAAATATTTTTTTAAGTCTCAAGCCATCCAAAATATCTTCCGAGAGGAAAGAAAAATAAATTTGAAAAGTTCAAATTAGATTGGGACCTTATTAATTAAAATTGAGATTTTTAAAAAGTATATCTTCAAGTGTCATTTGTGTCCATTTCCACAGATCTCATCTCGTCAATTAACTATTTGACTCTACAACATTCTATTGTAAAATGACTTATTAGATTATTTTGAGACTTACAAAAGAGTGATGGAGTTTATCTCGAGTCAATGAGACCCTAGTTGGGCATGGATCTCACATAAAAAAATAGTACCTTTTTAAATATTTTTGGAGGCTATATGGAATATGGATGCACTTTTATATATATATATATATATATCATGAGTTGAAACTAAAGAGTTTTTGAAACAAGAGTGCACAGAAATGCAATCAATTTTTTCGTGTGTTGGAAATAGCCACAAAAAGAAAAGGATGGTTCTTCCTCCCCTCTAATCATGATATGTGATGCTACCAATAATTGCATATGTATTTGTTTTGTCATGTATGTTAAATTTGTCATGATCAATATGGAGAGAGTACTTGTTTTTGTCATTTGTGTTATACTAAATTATTGTCGATATGAAGTAACCTCATGAAGTGATGGTATTGTTTGTTTTCAGCTAGTATAGTTTCATGGAATCATGATTTTGTTTGTATCAGCTAATCGTCCTTGGTTGATAGAGAAAAATTAAGTTTAAAAAGCACTTCTATCAACTAGTACGTTAATTAACATCCTAGAATTTGTTAATATATAGGAGAGTCGATCGGTACGACAATTTATTAATTAAGACATCTCTATTTTTATCTAAGGGGTCGTGGGTTTGAATCTTCACTCTTTATTTGTAGTGTAATGTTCTAAAGAAAAATGAGTCAATTCACCAACGACACTACTCTAATTATTGGTGCCTCAAATAATGTTGACACTCCAATACATTTTCCAAATGTGTAAATCGAAGAGAAGACATGTCTCTTTTTATTTAGCCCGATCATCGAGCTATCAACAGAAAACACTATTGTTTGTTCTATGTTATGTTCAATAACACTACAACGATACGATCATATTGTGGGCATAACCCTCATTATTTTGCTTTTAGTTTCACCCCAAAAAGTCTTGGTAATACCAATGGAAACAATTATCATCACTGGGGTCTTGGTAATACCAATGGAAACAATTATCATCATCTATATATCATAGATCACTCTCTTCCCTAGCCAATATCAGACTTTGTTTGCAGTACTCTCAACCTCAACAATCATCCCTTTGAACAAATTGTCATTGTATCTTGCTTTAAATAGTCATTCACACATCTACTCTCTGACACAAGAGCTTGATCTATGACTCCCGACCGACAACGAGAGTCTGCTTCTGTATAGCACGTTCAGATAGAACCCAATTACACAAATCACATTGTAGGATATACCTAATGTCGACGACCCTATCACACCCTTAATCTCCTCCCACCGAACAAAGCTCTCACCTCTTCCTATCAATTTACCCGACTTTGATAAGCTTCCTATCAATTTACTAGACTTAAAAGGGCCTGTCATTTACTCGTCAGTCAAATTACTATAATTAAGGCTCACCAATTTCCATAATTAATATAATTTATATATTTTTGTTTGAAATTTTATTTTTATTACTATAAATTATTAGTTTTAAAAAATTAATATTTAATTTAGTAAAATAGTTAATTTCTTAAAAAAATGGAATGGGGATGGGCATGGTGAAAATTTCGTTCTTTGCTCTCGAAGCGAGGATTAGAAGCCAGGAATTTTTGTCATGCCTGGAATTTTTGTCATACCTAAGGTAGAGACAACAAAAATTCTGAGAGATGGAAAAACCTTTTAAAGATAAATTTTAGAGAGAAAGAAAAAAATTCAGAGAAAAAAAAGTTATGAAAAAAATCTAATAAGAGAAAATTTAAAAAAAATAGAAAATTTTAGAGAAGGTAAAATTGAGAGCAAAATACATGTTAAGGAAAGAAAAAAAAATAGAAAGAGAGGAAAATTATAGTGAGAAAATAAATATTAGATAAAAAATTTCGAAATATATTTGTTAAAGAAAATAAATAAAATAAAAAAATAAAAGTTATAGAGAAAGAAAAATGAACGGGAAAAAATTTAGATAGAGAAAAATTGGATATATATTAAAAAATAAAATTTAAGATGGAGAAAAATTAAAAAAAAAACATGAGAAAAAATGAGAGTGATATATTAAAACAAAAACGAAAGAAATAAAAATATATAGAGATTAAAATTTTAGAAAGATAAATTGTGAGGGCAGTATTGTAATTTTTCAGTGAAAAAAAAAGAAAAAAATAATAATAATTAAGATATCTTAGTTGGAAGGGTAGTTTGGTCTTTTGACAAGAAAACAAAACATGGGACACGTGTGGTGTGTGTGTGTTGTGACGTGTTTAAAAAAAAAAGAAAAAGAATAGGAAAGGGAAAGGGGA